CAGAGCCTAAAAGTGTGTTGCAGTCTTTAGTATTTGCTCCCAGTATTTGCTATACATTTTTATTGGCACTTTTTCGAATTTTGAGGGGGGGGGGGAGACGATCCACCCTAAAACATTGAGGGGGGACGCGCGTCCCCCACCCGTCCCCCACCCCCCCCCTCCCCCTTCCCCCGGGAGCGTTATTTTTTTATGCGGCACAGATTGGGGCATGGTGCGTGTTGAGCCTATGAGAAGTACGTTCTTTTCCTTCTGAATAGTGTCTGCACGTACGTGAGACTAGTCATGTTCGCTAGCGCATATCGCGCTGCGAAGAAGTTTGAATATCCATCGCGAACTATGTGTTTAGATAACATTCTTCTTCGTTTTTTTTATTGACTAATTATTGTGATGTTCTCCTTATTGACGTGCTGCCTCCTCTTCAAATTTCCAATTTCATTTTAATTGTTGATGTAATGATTTTCCATACGGTAGTGAATTACCTGTAACACTATTAAAAACAGACCTCTACTACTAGTACGCACACGACCACTATTAGTCTGTAAATCAAGACCCCTTTAAAAAAAAAGCCCCAATCTGTGCCGCATAAAAAAATAACGCCCCCGGGAGCGCCGCTCCTGGCCGGTATTAATTTCTTTCAATTTCTCCGTTTTTTAAAGCCCGACAGCTACTGTTGGCTCGGTTTACCCAATATCCCGCTCGCAGCTAGCCTCTTGTCGATGGCCCTCGCGTTGTTGGAGTCCGTAAATTCTGGCGAGCGATCGAAGCTCGCCAGAGAAACCGAGCACTAGCTCGAGCACTAGCTCGCCAGAATTTACGGACTCCAACAACGCGAGGGCCATCGACAAGACCGCAGCCATGAAGCCCGCGCGGGGGTTTCCCCAAATTGTGTTTATCATACGTACGCGTACGTTAGTGGATTGCCGACAAATATATACGCATGACCGACCTTGGACGTTAGTAAATTGCGCGAATCGTCAACTTGCCGTGCACGTATTGCAATGCACAGAGCAGGTTCTCAAGTAGACAGAAATAACCGTCTGATATATAGGTCATTTCTTTAATGAAAACTGACATTTGTTGACATCTATAATCGGAGGTCTAGTGGAGCCAGACGTAGTACGTAGTCTCAGTGGAACAACCGACGAGAGACTGAAGCTTTGGTCTAGTTCTCAAGATAATCTGAGCAGTTCTTCCTGACACGAGGTAATTTTTTTGTTTATTGCCGTTGATTGGTTTTTTCGGAATCTAGGTAGCGCGCCCAGTATTCGGTCAATTCCCAGTATTCGGTCAGACAGCCGTTTCAACAGCTGTAACAATTTAAAAAATAATTAATGAGCCGCGAAACTTGCACAAATCAGGCAGCTCAACAACTTTTCTTAACTCTCAAAATTTTGGCCCGGAAAGATCTCCAACTTAGCTCGAAATTGGTCAGTGTCGCACCACTTTCTGCACTTCCGCGTTCTGTTAGCACATGCGCTAACATGCATAGCCATATGTAGAAGTCTATTGCGAAACAACTTTGTGTGCTGTCGCAATGAATTTAGTATGTGTGTGAAGAGGAGTTCTTCCGTGTTCGCTTCATTGCAGCGAATTTGCAAATGACGCACTTGGCGATGTGCAAGAGGTATTTATACGATACCCTTGCCATGCGGTATCGCTCGTCCAGTATTCGGTCAACGCATTGACAATCAGTGCTTTATCGCGCAAATGTGTGAAAATAGCGCGCAAATACGCTTCGCTCCTTTGCAACGGAGATTCCACGCACAAATCGCGTGACCGAATTCTAATCGGCGCGACCGAATTCTGGGCAGAAAAATGCTCCGTCTTCTTTCGGAAATATTTTTCTTATCATCATTCTTTATTTTAAGTGACTATAAAATCCTGTTAGAGGAATATTTTTCCGTTCTTTTGATGGGTAGATTGCAAAATAAAAGAGGTAAGAATTCAAAATATTATTGATTTCCCTTAAAGGACAAGTCCACTCAAAAAATAACTTACTTTCAATAAAAGCAGAAAAATCAGACAAACCAATCACACAAAGTTTGAGCAAAATCGGATAACTAATAAGAAAGTTATGATTTTTTTTAATAAGAATTTAAAACTATGGAACAATGAGAATCACGACACAATTTGCCAAGATGGTTATCAGTTTGTGACGTCATGTCCTCACAACTTATCAATTGCTTTATATAGTTTAATCCCATTAATTTCCCTTTTTATCCCCAAAAACTTGATTGCCCCAAGCCTTCGGCCAGGTTATATGATTTGTATCATATTGCGTGCATGAAATTTACCAAAAACTTTTATGAATTTTGAAGAATTGATACTATTTTCTGAATATTGTTTTTCATAATTATTGATTTTTATATAAATAGTTTATCAAAATTCAATTTTTCATGATTTTACTGGACATAAATTACTCTTTATTTGTGCATCCACACATAAAAATATTACTAACAATCTAACTTGGATGCTGGTGTGAAGAAATAAGATTCTTAGGGTGAAAATAGGGAATTTATATTATCAATATAAAGAAAATAATTAGTGGATAGTGAGGACCATACGTCACAGACTTCTGAGTGAGTTGCCAATTTGTGTAGTGATTTTCAAAGTTTTTCATGTCATTAAAAATTCATAACTTTCTTATTAGTTATGCGATTTTGCTCAAACTTTTTTTGATTGGTTTGTCTGATTTTTCTGGTTCTATTGAAACTAAGTTATTTTTGGAGTGGACTTGGGCTTTAAGTGACCGAATACTGGGCACTCTACCCATTATTTCCCAGGGCCGGCCCAGGGTGCAAAGCAGGTTCTTGAGACATAAAATATGTTGTAAAGGTTGGGTATCAAAGTGTTCAGGGGGCCTCCGCTCGCGCTCGCCCTCGCGCTCCCGACTTGCACAATTTCGTTGCCATACCAATATCATAATAATAATATAGAGTATTTGTAATGGTACCTAGATCTATACTTTTGAACTATTTTGCCATTTTGGAGATTACTTTTGAACTGTACCTCATTTTACAATGTGTAAGGCGTCATATGAAAGAAAAATAAATTTTCTACAAGACCACATTGGGGATAATTTACGTACTAATTTTGAGCCAAAAATATGATGTGAGCCAAGGCCAAATGGCAAATTTGGTTGCTAAGGGCCGTTGATCTTCTCCTTAGCAACGGTCACATAGTGACGTGAATATAAAATATATCGCAATTAGATGCATGCATCATGAAGCAGATGACTTCTTTGCAAAGAAGGATATGATATGTCAGATGAAGCAGTTGCATCATGTTTGAATCATATCGCTTAGTTCCCGTTACTACATGAATATGGATATAGAGTAAAGGAGCCGGTAATCGGCCAGCTCCAGTTTTCGGCCGATTGGTTGGATGCAAGGTAAAATCACTCTAAAATACATCGCATAATAGCATAACACATATCCCACACATACCATACCATGCCAGTGTCACTGAAGAACCACATTTGCAATGAAAAATATATCCTAAAATATCACATTTTAGCGATGTAATCGGCGGTCCCGCTACCCGAATCTGAAAAATCGAGTATTTTACGCGTGTCTGTAAGAAATATGGGTACCATAAAATGAGCTTTATTTCAAGTATTTTTCAGATTTAGAGCCCGATTTTGTGCTAGTCGCAAGCTCAAAAGTATCTCATCGCATGTATTAAATCAATGCAGCCGCACACCGCAACGCACACACGATATCTCTGTCTAATTCAGATTCCAACTTCCGATCACCGCTGAGCACTCGGGAGCTCCGGCGTGGGATACCTGCTCCGCCCGCTTGTGCTGTACACAAGCGCGGAAACGCACGGCGCGCGCGAGCGCTTCCTATTGACTTTGTACATGCGGCCGTAAACTGAAACGCTCGGCCGATAACTGGCTCCAAAACAGTGAAAATTGAAATGAATATTGTCATGGCAATTCGTGATTTTTTTCTGGGATTCTTTTTTTGTTTAAATAATAATAATATTTGCTTCATGATTTGAACAAAAAATGATAATAAATAGGAAGTAAAGGGTCCTAAAAAAGGATTTTGTCTTAAGTGGCCGAAAACGGGCTCCTTTACTCTAGCAACCAAATATATAATGTGATCTCAGAAATCAAATCAGGATATTATTGGTCAAATAATGAATAAAATTAGACCTAGCTGTTCCAAGTGACAGACATAATTTGCCGTCTTGAACATGTTAATAGTGCATGCATGATGTGGTTCAGTTCAGAACTGTCACCCTATACTCCTAATTCCCTCCATTGAAATACCCCCACCCCCCTCAAAATCAAGAGTAATTTTGGGATGGGGCAGTATGTTGTGTAGGACATGATTTGTGTTCAGAAATGATGCAGGCTATCTGTCAACTTGTCAAGTAACACATGAAATGTATTATAGCTATATGATTTTTGTATAGCTTGAAGTGAAAAGTGAGGCTGGTCGAGAGCCATTGGTTTAATTACATGAGAAATGACGAATGTCTGTTTTGTGAGTGCGCTGTAAGTGTTGAAATACTCATGTTCAAGCTTCTCTCCATTTTTAGCGTCACTGGCATTGCCACAGTTTCTGTAAGATCGGTTTCATTTAATATCTCAGCTTTTTATTTGCTGGGAGCCAGGAATCTTGTGATGATAAACACTGTTAATAAGAGCAGGTCCGAGTTCTTGTATGCTTATGTTCTTACATGTAGTTGTGTCTTTGTCTTATTCTTTTTCTTCGTCTCCTTCTTTTTCCTAGAGCTTCTTCATCCCCATCTTCAAAGGGCTATGCAGCCTAGATCGCATAGATGAAATTAGTTTACGAAAAACACAAATTTTTCTGAAATTTTCATTTAGAAGACTCTCAAACACTGCTGAAACAAATTATAACAATATTGACCACTGTCTTTTCTCTATTTCAATACAATTGTTTTTTATTTTTAGTCACCACGTCCACCTTGCTTGAGGAAAGCGATGGGTCTGTCATAGCACCTTGTTGGTTGGATAAACAAGGATGGCTTTTGATGAGGACAACATCAGACCATGGGGGCTCTTTCTCCAGGATATAGCTAAAGAGGTAAGCTGTAAATGTGTATGGATCTACAAAGTACCCCTTTGAAGATGCAGAAGAAGAAAAAGGAGAAGCAGAAGAACAGGAAGAAGTACAAAAAGAAAAATGGAGTATAAGGAGAAGGAGAAGATCAGAAGAAGAGGAAGAAGAAGGAAAAAGAAGAGGAAAGGAGGAGGAAGAAGAAGAAGAAGTAAAAAGAAGAGGAATAGAGGAAGAAGAAGGGAGGAGGAGAAACAAATATCGCAATTATACAACACACATAGATCCTACATACCGTTCCTATTTTTATGTAATCCTATACAATTTGCATTTTTATATTTCCAAGGTTAAAAATGAGGAGTTTAGAGAAATCAAGCTCATCCTTGGAAACAAGCTTACTGCAAGAGACCGGGATTCGATCAGTGAACCAGTCGATTTGTTAGAACTGTTGGAGGATAAAGGACTGATTAGCGAAGATGATACAGGTTTGATATAGGGTTTTTGTAAAGTACTTGTGTCCATCATGCTGTGACGCTCCTGTGCCTCCAACGTAATCACCCCAGTCATACACAACTGGCCAAATGTGTAGCACTCTAGTATATCCGTACCCATTTACACCTTGGGGAAGAGAGAGGCAAACATGGATTAATGTCTTGCCAAAAGACGTTTGTGCCGGGCTTCGATTTGACTGTCAACTCTTTTAAATTGAAATCAAGTGATTCAATCAATGTGCCATGGCATCTCAACATTAGGCCTAAAAAAAAAATGCTGTAGTGCCCTTTGCGACCGACCCGAAAATCTTGAAATCTAAGGTCGGCTTTAAAAAAAAAAAAAATTACAGTTTTTTTTAGATAAAAAAAATATTTGAAGCATCCAAAACTGAGAAATATCAGCCCAAAGAGGGAGGAAAAAAAGGAAGAAAAAAAAATTTAATTAAAAAAAAAAGATTTCCGAAAGACCGGCCCATGTTTGGCACCTAAAGGGCAATACCACATTTTTATGAGGAGAAAAGAACACTGCCTTTAAATCTCTCTATGTCGATTTTGATATGTATTTCCCTAAATAGAGAACTGTTCTTCCGAAGCAGGACCATGATTAGAAATTATACCCCATAGTGAATATTTTGAGGTATTTCTTTCATAGTAAAATGACATTGCAATAGAATAAAAAAGAAGCTATTGGATCTCAAAGTCATTAGCATTTCCAGTAGTTTGCAGGACCTGGGACATGTATGATCTACATAAGTACTAATCAGTATGATTACTTTCAAAGCAATAAGCATGCTTAAAGGTATAGACCAGTTTTGGAAACGTCCCCCTCTCAAAAAAAAAGAAATGGGAGCTCTTATTACCAATCATGTGAAAGAATATGTTTTGACTACCGGTAATGTGATGATACACATTTTGCCAGGAAACCGCCGGCTAATTAATATATTTGGTAAATTATCATATCTATCCGGCCTAGATAGATATCGCGTAGTACCATATACATCTTTCTGTGTACAGTGCTTGTAACTTTCCCAAGACTGGGCCAAATTTGTTATCATTTTGATGATTCCAGAAACTTGCAGTACACACGAATACTTATATGCTACCATATCAACCTTTTCTGATCGATTCCACAACATTTCTTTCACAATGCAATCGCATGACCAGAACTGGTCTATACCTTTACGAATCATGAAGCAAATACAGACCAAAGTGCTGAACATTTACACAACTGTACTTTGTGTTTCTTGTTACCTTTTTGACCTTTACCCATTTTGACTTTTTCTTCCCGCTTCTTCTTCTGTCCAGCTTTATTACGAGAGTTGTTCAGAAAGGCAGAATATACTGAACTTATCCCAAGGCTCAACGAGTATGAAGCCAATAGGAAGAAGTACTTGGAGAAGGTCAGCATGTTGGCCGGCAGGTATGTCCTCCAGAACTTGTGTCTTTGACGCAAATGCACCAATATTCACCAACATGTCTTACTGTTATGCATTTGCGTTCAAGACGTGTCCTCATATTTCACTAAGTTTCCTTAAGACAAAAATGTACCGGTACCCCTTTATTGTGGGATAAAGTATTACACTTGAAAAATATTACCAAACAATAGTGTACATATCATCTCAAAAATGAAATTGTTAAAGATGGGCGTCCCAGCTATCCTGAAAATAAGGAACAATTACCTGGAAAATTATTTCCTTTTTTCCAGTCAAGGAAGCGGATTTCATTGACCCGAAAAAGTAGCCAGTGTCCTATGTATTGATTTATGTCCAGTCAGTGCATGTACCATGGGGAAAATATTGATGTAGTTTGCAGGCATGAACCCTTGTCCTCTGCTTTGTGTAACAGTGTCTGCACTTTTAGACTAGGCAGATGGCATATACTGCACTACATGCACTTGGGCCGTATTATTAAAACAATGTTATCATTTATGGTAGCTAAGAAAATGATGTTATTTTTCACAACACACTCAAATTGCATGAATCAAACACTTACCATTGGTGCTTGCGCAGATTTTTCTCTTGTCATAATTTTTATTTGTTTTGTCAATGAACATCCCTTTACTAACATAGAATATATTATAAACCTCTCTTTACAAATCTAGCCATCTGATTGGTCGAAATTGCATTCATGATTTTAGCCATTCCCGCCTTCCAGTCAATAGTCTTTTGAAAAGTGCCCTCATACCTGCCTACCAGTCAATAGTCTTTTTAAAGATGCCCGTTGCCCCTGGTAACAGGCCGCATAAATAAATGGTGCTCAGATCCCCCTCGGTTTACGTGTTAAAATTTTCTTTGTGCGAGTGCGAACACCACTTATGTCTGCGATTCCCAAATGATTGAAACTTTCAGTCATTTTTGCAGCGAAGATTAACAGACAGTTTCTCAGATTTTCCATGATGTTTTAACCAATCTTTACTCAATAAAAGGATGAGGTAAGAATTCTTGGTAGATTTTTGTTTCAATGCAGCATATAAAAGACATATTGACTGCTTTAATATTGGAGGTCTGGCTGTTTAGGCTCTCAGAAAAGTGCGCACATCCTACCACCCAGGCGCGCCTCGGGGTCATGGCAGCTAGGATGTGCGCACGTTCCCTTGAGCCTATAAAATAGCCAAGCCTCTCAAAGCAGTCGATATCTCTATAACATTGTTTTCAAAATACCACCCCTGTACTTGAGCTGCTCGGGACAACAACCAGTAGGAACTGGGCTAGTCTTCTCTTAATACACAAAGTTATTGTAACAAAGTGTCAATTTAGGGTCTGTGCTTGCAGATTAATATTGATCCTTCAATTTTTATTTTTATTCTTCAGGGAATTTGACAACCACTGGTATAGAAAGACTCCCTTTCTGTAAAGAACAAATTTAAAAAATGTCCCCTTGGAATGATATTTCTCACTGGAACATGTACTATAGGCACCTGAACAAAAATACCACCTGCCTATAATATAAAGACCACCTTTCTTGTCTCCCATGAGTGATGTTTGTACACAGGTTTCACTTTGTTGTTTAATTATGGTGTTTTGTTTCATTTTTATGCCTCCGTTACAAAGTAGCCAGAGGCATTATGTTTACGGGTTGTCCGTACGTGTGTACGTCCCGTTCTCGTGATCCCGTTATCTCAAGAACCGATTGATGGATTCCTGCCAAACTTGGGTCATGTATGTGTCTTGCAGAGTTAATGAAGTTATATGATTTTTGGGTCACGAGGTCACAGGGCTCATTATGTATGCAAATAGCTTGTGAATGCATTCTTATTAGAACTGACCGATAGATTAATATCAAACTCGGGACATATATATATCTTGCAGAGCCATGCAATGAACTGATTAGATTTTAGGATCATAAGGTCAAAGATCAAAGTGTCATACATGTACACGGGTATATGAAAAATAGTTAATTGTAATCACCATATTCTGAGAACCTGTTAATGGATTACAATCAATCAAACTTGAATTTGAAAAATTGCTTCTGTTTTGGTTTGTAAAATCGCTTTATATGGCGGAGGCATCAATCAAAGATCCATCTAGTTAAAATGGTTATGAAATATAGAAATTCTTGCTTTTCCTTATGAATTAAAGCACATCGTCCATGGATCACTTTTAATTGGCTAGATTCGCTGCCTACACATGTATGGCTTTAGTTTTTAGGCACAAACCCTTGTCGGTCGTAGTGCGTAATACAATGTCCTCACTATCAAGAGACTATTTAGACTACACCATATAGTGCTCGACCATAGGCTAGCTGTGCTTCAACTGCTCGATCATGCATGACTCTGCCAGAAACTGACAGAGCTAGTCTCTGCTTAAGACTTCATGGAATTGTGTTTAAGTGTCAAATTAGAGTGAGTGTCTGCAGAGTAGGATTCGGCGCCAATGTCATGGAACTGAAACTTTTATTTTCAATTCTGCAGGCGTGATCCTCTGTTCGTTGGGCGTGACTCCTACATTAGAACCATCTTGGACTTCTTCAAGGAGGCGCGGCATCCAGGGGTGCGGTGTGTCTGCCTCTGGGGGATGGCAGGGACTGGTAAGACCAAGCTAGGGGCGGAAACATGCACCATCTATGCTGAAATGTGGGACAACCCTAAACCAAGGTAGGGGGCAATATGCCTACTAATTGATATATTTGTTAAATTATTATTTCTATTTGGACCGGATAGATATTGCGCACGTGCCGTGTAGTCCCATATACATCTTTCTGTGTACAGTGCTTGTAACTTTACCAAGACTGGGCCAATTTCTTATCATTTTGATGATTCCAGAATCTTGCAATACACACCAATACTTATATACTAGATGATCAACCTTTGCTGATCGATTCCACAACATTTTTTTCACAATGCAATCGCATGACCAGTACTGGTCTTTATCATTAACTAGTAAGCACTGGTATTGTTGTGAAGAGCACTCTTCTCTCTTTGACATAAGAGAATGTGAATTTTGTAAACGAGAGTCATCCAACCGGTCATCCATAAACGCCAAATTCTAAAGAATCTGAAATGGACATTCATGCACTATGGTGACATGTCTGGCAATATTCGCTAATGTTTGGTCATCAATTTTCTGAAGCATCATGCCTGGGTATTAACTGTTGAAAAGGCCTGGGCAATTTTAATGCACAGTCGAACAATAGCAGTGCATTTTGCAACTTTTTGTTTTTGACCTTGCCATTAAATTTGATCTACTGCACATCCCATGAACGAAATAGCAAAGGGGTTTCATTTCAAAAAGTAATAAATCCACATTCCAATAATGATACTAAACATACCTTTATGGTACCATGACAATTAATAGAGATATATAATCGATCATACTTGAGTTTCCAAACCTATTTTTTTTAGGGTTTTACTTTTAGGCTACTGCTAAAACAATGTTTGTAATGTTTATAATCATGAAAATGATGATAATAAATAATTAACTTGAATATTTAAATAATGCATAAATAAAAGTTATATTGTAGTATCCTTCCATTTGGAATAATGATGAAAGTACTTATCCTGTTCATGTTCCACAAGCCTGTCTTAACCTGTTATATGTTTGAAAGTCAATTTTTGTAAGTTTCAAACTTTTCAACAAATTCTTATTATGCTCTTACTTTTCAGATCCATTATTTTATGTTGGAGTGTATAGCAATAAAAGAAAAATTCAAATGCAGCCGATTTGAAGAAGAACAGCTGATCAACTTAGCCCATTATAAAATGTGTGTCCTGAATGTGTTATGTTAATTATGTGACTAAATGATTTGGTTTTACTTCCTTCTCAGACTAGTGTTGGTAGACCTGAACAAGAAGGATTCCATTGCTGATGTTGGCATGGCGTTTTTGAGTTCCGTAGGAAAACCAGTCGAAGCAAACGCGTTCAAACTCCATCTCGTCTACGATTGGATAAGATCATGCAGAGAAGGTAAGTATCATTTTTATCCAAAGTACATGTTATCAGGCAGTATCTTTGATCGATCTATATCTACTTGAAGCAGCTTTGGTGGGGTATGATTTTTGAATAAATTAATTATATCTTCTGTGTGGAGCCAGATGGGCGTTACAGGGAGAGGATCATCAGCTCCCATGTGCAGAAGTTCATAATTTGCTGACACCAGACTTGGTGGAAATACCAATGTTAAATCTGAAATGCATGGCCCTACATGTTATCAGTGTGTGTGATACGGTGTAATATTAGATAGCTTAGACAGATACCGAGATGTGATTGGTCCAGAGCTCGTCACATGATATCAATTGCGAGGATCGTTATTGTTATATTTTCCTGGCCGGTCACTTTCCAGTGTTATATTCATATTCATATTCATATTCATATTTATTTCATTTCCAACAGAAAGGTAAACAAAGATATTACATTTGATTTCATACATAATTCATTTTTTCAAGAAACTATAGAAATAAACTTAGCACATAATAAAATTATTACAAGAATTTCTTAATTTCTGAGGAAATGGGGGGGATCCACTAAAAAGCAGTGCTTGTAGTTTGTGGATCCCCCAGAAAAAAAAATATATAAATGTTTCAAATTTTGCCTACGAAGACTTAGAAAACACAAGACAATATTTCAAAACAACATACAATTTACAAACACGAAACGAACGAGGAGAAGTAAAACAGATAAGAAGGAAAGGGGGAAAAGGGGGAAGGAAGAAGAAGAGCAGGACAAATCATAAGACCAAATAAATATTAAATTAATCAAGCAGATGATGAAGACCTAAATGAAAAATTAAGATGATTACCAACTGTTATCAGATTATTCTTGTATATTACTATAAGATTTGAGCAAAACTGTTTTTAGATTTTTCTTGAAAGAATTTAGGGATGGACTATTTTTAATACTTTCACTTAGAGAATTCCAAAATCTAGGACCATCATACATAAAAGACTTCTTCGCTAATAAAGTTCTAAAGAGTGGTAGGTGAAACTCGTTTGACCGTCTAGTTGGGTAATCATCAAATGACCGATTTAGGGGGAACATGGCATGAAATATATATGTGGAAGGGTCTTTTTTGAATACTTATACATAAATTGTCCTAAGTGAAGTAGATACAGGTCATTTGTTTTTAATAGTCTGCCATTAACAAATAACGGGTCTGTGTGTGAGAGTGGAGCAGAATGGTAAATAATACGGAGAGACTTCTTTTGTAATAATAACAGTCTATTTAATAGAGTTTGCTGCGTGTTGCCCCAAGTAAGTATTCCATAATTCAGATATGGTAAAATTAAAGATGAATAAAGCATGAATAGGGATGATGTCGGAAAATGAAATTTAAGTTTATTTATTATGCCAATATTGCGTGAAATGATCTTACATGTATTATCTATATGGTATTTCCACGACAGTTTGTTATCAACAGTTATGCCTAAAAATTTAATGAATGAAACATCTTCCAAGGGGCCGGGGGTATCATCAATAATGATATTCTTGGGCAGTGTGTCAATAGAATTACTAAATAACATATATTTGGTTTTTGGGAGGTTAAGGGATAGATCTAGTTTGTTTGCTTTTATCCATTGGGTGACTTTTACAAGTTCAGAATTTACAACATTGACTAGGGAATTTGGATTTCTATGGGAATAAAATAAATTAGAATCGTCTGCAAAAAGTATAAATGAAAGGACATCGGATGATTTACAAAAGTCATTTATATTAATAATAAACAATAAAGGGCCCAACAAACTTCCCTGCGGTACTCCACAATTTACGTTTTGCATATTGGAAGTATGATCATTCAAGAATACATATTGTCGTCTATTGGATAAGTAACTCCTGAACCACTCCAAGGCCTTCCCACGCACCCCATAATGAGAAAGTTTGAATAATAAGATGTCATGATTGATGGTGTCGAAGGCCTTGGAGAAGTCCAGGAAGATGCCAACCAGGTGAGAAGAATTGTCTAAAGCATGCGCTTCTTTGTCAATAAAATTCAATAAGGCATGTTCTGTATTATGTTTTTCTCTAAATCCAAACTGAAAGTTGGAAAAAATACTATGAGTTTTTAAAAAGTTAACAGTTCTACGATAAACAACTTTTTCTAGAATTTTTGACAAGGAGGATATCCAAACAGGAATACAAAATAAGTCTTCTGAATATATTCGCTTAATATTCAGAATACAAAATAAGTGGTATTTTAGTGGTTGCATGTATTCCTCCAATTTGAATACTAAAAATCTCATTGTCAGAACCACTAAAATCAATTGAAGTATTCAAATTGTTGTGCTTTGAATACTAAAATCCATTATAAGGAATGTTAGTCTTCGATTATTAGTATTCTGAATGTACTAGTATTCAAAACTGGTTGGTTTGAATACTAGTAGAATTGAGTCTTTGATTATAAGTATTCCTCCAAATTGAATACTAAAAATCTGATTGTCACAACCACTAAAATCAATTTAAGTATTCAAATTGTTGTGGTTCGAATACTAAAATCCATACAAAGGAATTTTAGTCTTCGATCATTAGTATTCTGAATATACAAACATTTTCCATGAAAATACTAATATTCAAAACCTGCAGTTGGTTTGAATACTAGTAGAATTGAGTCTTTGATTATTAGTATTCCTCCAATTTGAATACTAAAAATCTGATGTTTGTTGTGGTACTATATTAACAACACCAATAGTTCATTGATGTGCGTAATGAGGCTGTGATTGGCGGAGGAATACCAGAATAAAGCACTTCCAAGATGGCCACTTATACATGAACAGTGTCTCCAGCAATGATCTTATTGATCTGTAGATCTGATCATTTAACATGGTGGCAGCGGTCAAAAGGATTGCCATATTTATTACTATTAAACTGCAAATTACATTGAGCCAGCAAAAATCTTGCATGACCTTGGATTCAAGCAACGTTTTTGAACTGCTGACAATCACAGCCAGTTGAGTAAATCTGCATGTGTCACCTGTGGACTGTATTATGTGGGGCATTAGGAGTATGACCGACGGGCACACAATGTATTGACTGTCAGATCGAGCCCTACAGTTACATTCAGGACCAGAACTGATGCAGAGGCAGAACCATGCAGAGCCTAGAGGCTCGCCATGACCAGAGCCTAGATCACCAGGACGAGAGCCTAGAGGCTTGACCAGGACCAGCACAGTATAGCACTGCAGTTTGGTTTTGGTTTTGGAACTGAGCCGCTCAGAGCGCGTCGCGTTGCGATTAGAAATGAGTGGACCGTGCAAGTAGATCCAGGACTAATTGCTGGACTTGATTGATCTGATTGTGGAGTGAAAACTAGATTAGACTCTATGTCCTAGTCTAAAAGGACTAGGTCTAGACTCTAGACCTAACAGGTTAATTACCCAAGACATAGCCTATAATGTTTTGAATTGGACTTAGTTAGGATGTGTTTAACATAATTATACAAGTAGCCTAAGTAGATCTAGATAATAGATCTATAGGCCTAAGTCCAATTTCTACATGTGGACCCTGGATCTAAGTCTAGAAATGTCTAACTTTTGAGTATGTGCATGATGATACTGGTAGACCAAATACTGAAACAGTGGTCCGTGGTAACTTCATTTCTTTTGGTTGAGTCACGTACAGGATCGAAGGTCTATTCCCTCAAAGCTGGTCCAGGACCAGTTGTCTACATGTATAGGACCAATATTACACAAGGGGGTATAATTGTCTATAGACTTGATGTATTTTTATGCATTTGAACCTACATTGTGAAGTTGTATAAAGTGTGCTATATAAGTCACGATACATTATACATTTGTAGTATGAACATGGGCTAATTAATACTTAGACCTATCAAGTAATATCGCAGATTTTGACCCCAGTTTGTTTTCAGAAAGCACTATTAAAACTGCTAAACAGCACGCACTGAAATAAGAGTTAATATCTAGCATGAACATCCTAGTACTTCGGGTGAAACAGTGTAGGCCTGTATGTCAATTTAAAAATACAGCAGAAATATACACGTACTGTAGTTGATGACTGTTAACTGGTATGTTATGTAGGGTCTACACTGCAATTTGTATGTTGTATGAGGTGATTATTATTGGGGTATAATTCTGCTGCATTGTGGGATTTTGGTGTTGGTCGGAATACTAATTCCAGCATTGCATATTTCAGATGACAAGTGGTCAGAATACTAATTTGTAGCTAGTATTCATCTTCTAATTTGCATACTAGTAGTACGAATACTTGTTTGTATTCCTCATTTAAATATTTCGGCCTATAGGAATACAAAGGAATACTAACAAAGTGGTTCGAATAATTTGAGCTGACAGGAATACTAAATATGTGGTTCGAATACTAATTTGTAGCTAGTATTCGTCTTTTAATTTGCATACTAGTGGTTTGAATACTTGTTTGTATTCCTCATTTACATATTTCGGCTTATAGGAATACAAAGGAATACTATTACAAGTGGTTTGAATACAATCATGTGTATTCAAACCACTAATTTTCATACAGAATAAGTGGTTGGTTGTATTCAGATACATGTCTTCGAATACAACAGGAATACATTCATGTTTGGTCACCTTTTTTGTACAGGGGTATGACTTTTGCGATTTTCACATTGTGACTGTCTGTGAGGCGAAACGCTGAATAATTACAACGACTCAGGTTTTTACGGGAGTGTCAGTTTATTTAAGAGTCATAACCATCAAGGGTAATGCAACTTTGTCTTTGATGAACGAATCTTTTATCTATTCTCCTTTCACTGCTTTATTCCGTTCTTCTTCCCTTCACTCCGTGAAAACTGTACATGATAAAGCATAACAGGAATGCATAATAAGTATGTGTTCATGAATATAAGTTCCACAATATTAAAGCAGATATAGCATTCTACTAAATCAAAGACATTGTCTGAATTATAACTCCTTTTCATGTTTGCTTGTAAATCTTATATAAGTCAGACACTGTCTTGACAAATCTATCTGAACTTT